GGGGATTAGCCGAGGATGAACAATCCAGGCACTTATTCTGCAGGATGGGAGGCACAGTGCTGGATCCAGGGATTCCCAGCTCCCGCCTCGTGCTCGGTCACGCAGGACTCAGGTGGGATGGGATGATTTCACCGAGGGGGAGACTGAGGCACAGCCGAGCTCCTGGCTCTCCATCTTCCCCAGCAGGGCTCTGAGCAAGATTCCCAGCAGGGCAAGCTGCTGTTTCCAGGTATTTGTGGGCTGGGAACTGTTCTGCTCCCTGAGGTGGCACCTGCATCATGCTCTGCCTCGGAGCACGTGGCCCTGCCCGTGGTGAGGGACAGCGCCGGGATGAGCCGAGCTGGGCACTGGAATGTGGCTCTGCTGGCACTGACCCCCCGCCCACCACACAGAGCCCGGGCCTGGGTCTGTCCCTGGCATCACCAATGGCAAGAAAATAAGCACTGACCCCAGGGAGGGACCCCAGGACCCCAGGATTGCATCCACTCCCACTCCCATTCCATAGGAATGGGATGCAGAAGGCAGAGGTCTGTTGGAAGGTACCCGGGTGGATCCAAGCAGAGTTCCTGGAGCTCGGCCCTGGCAGCCCCTGGCTCCCACCTCCTGACCTTCCCTGTGAGCCCTGCAGACCCCCCGTGCCCTGCCCAGCTCCACGGGCCGGGCTCCCTGAGCACGTCTGCAGCAGCCTGGAGGAGCCTCGGCTCTCCCGGGAGGCTCCTGGGGAAAGCAGGCACAGGGAGGAGCCGGAATGACGGAGGAAACAGGGAGTGAGTGGGAGAACAAAGCGCTGCGGATGCGAGAGCTGTGGTGGGGACTGGGAAGATGGAGGCACCCAGGGGGATGGAGGGAGGCCACAGCTGCTGGAGCAAGGGAAGGGGCAGCGGGGCTGGCACCAGCTGTGGGACAGCTGGACAGACCCACGCTGCCATCCTTGGGGACTGGGGAGGCTTGGAAGGGAGAAATCTCAGCTCCACAGCAAACCCAACCTCTGCCGTGCCACGCTGGGAGCTGGGGGAGCAGGGCTGTGTGTTCTGGGGGAGCAGGGCTGTGTGTTCTGGGGGAGC